TCTTAAATCCCCAGCAGATCGCCAGAACTGTAGACGTCCACCGAACGTCACCGGGAGGAAATCCCCCCGTTTTGTTCATTATGGGTCACTACAGTTCAGGACTCAATGTCACGGTCCTGTATCTAATCTCACAGAGTGCATGCAAGACCCGCATTGAATCATCAAAGAGTCTAAATCCGGCAAATCATTTTTTTAAAACAGATTTTTTTAAAAGAACGCTGCCAAACATGGACTGCTTTGCCAGATACAAGTCGCCACCCTAAATATTTATTTTGGGGAAATTTAGGAAACCCTGACTCGTTGGTCTATAGGCCACGTGTCCGTCGATCACCAAAGTTGCCTTGCTCGGAACTTGGGGTACATTGGGGAAAGGTCACTTCGTTGAGCACCCGCCGCCCGATCAAAGATCGCCTCTACTAACCATGATATCTAGTTTTTGAAATATTATGCGTTCTTATCTGGTTTATTAAGCCTACTATTTACTATGTGATGCGCACCAGCATACAAGGTATTAGACTGGATCGCCTGAATCGGAACGAAACATCTCATGTTTATTTTTGAAAATGGTTTGATAGTGCTACCCGCAAGTAGGCTAAGACGTGGATTTGCCACCCTCAGGTGGGCTTAGAAAACATGATTTGCCACTATCTAGTGGGCTAAAAACTCACAATTGATGAATTGTTCCAATCCAAATAACCCAACCTTCACCCACAAGCATTCAGGCAGTTATATCACATAAGCAATTAGCCTCATGGTAAGCATGCTATCATGGCAGTGAGTCACACACATGAAAGGATGCTAAAGCATAAAACCTACCGAGTACTCCAAGCCAAAACAGAAACTAGTTAGAAATCAATGCATGATCCTAACTATACAGAAATGCCTAATGCAACACATGCAAAAATGCAACTACAATAGGCTCGGCTATTCTAAGATGGCATATGAAATGCTACAGCTAACACGTATTCAATTTGGAATTGAAATACAATTGCAGTTAGTATGATGCGCCGAGCCCGTTGCATGCAAGACAGATGAATGATGCAAACATGCTATCATTAGCATCCTGCTGCATGGCTCTCATGGTGTCCTGCATCTGGTAAATAAAAGGGAGAAAGACGTGGGGTTAGAAGACATACATCACACGCACGCACACTTATTACAATTGTGCCCTCGCTCGGAGGGTCCGAATAAATAATATAGTCCGAAATGAACAATTAAATATTACAAAACCCTAATTAATTAACAAATTAATCTAGGAAAACGAGTAAATTAGCATGCAAGCCTATGGATTGCCTCAGCTCTGTTCCGAATGATGGGGGATGCATGCTTGAGTTGCCCAGCTTAGAAATCCATTGCGATGCCCCGATTCGCCTCTATTTGCAATTAATGCCGGAATGCTGTGCAAGGCTTTAGAAAGCTGCTGATTTCTGATTTGCTGCAACAGAGAGCAAGAAAGGGGCATGGCAAAGTATTTTTACATATGTATGCATGACTACTCTTCAGGGAGTGTAGTCCTCGATCCTCGTACCACCAATCACGCATCTCGATGCATGATGGCCGAGGAGTCGAATCGCACGACTCGATGTGAAATGAATGCACATATGAACACAACAAGACCTAAACTCTATCATGGGTAATCCGGAGTGTCGGCGACCTGGAATTGAGACACGTTCCGTCACTCGGAGTACGAAACGTCCCTCGTTTCCCGTGCTTAAGCTAACTCCTATCCCAAACACAATGCAAATGAGATGGCATACACAATGCGACTAACATACAACCTACCATATGCAATGCTATGAGATGGCATACACAATGCTCGATGTAACATGGCATACACAAAGCTGTAACACGCAACTTAGCATACGTAATGCTATGAATTGAAAGGCATACACAATGCATAATGGACTTACACCAATCATGAGTGGACCTCAGCTACATTGACATCAGTGGCCATAAGATGAAAATGAGATGACCGAAATGCATGCACACATGCACACAAACCGAGGACCGAACCTAAGGCATTAAATGCCACTCTACCAAAACATGGCAAGGATGAAGCATGGCATTCAAACATGTAATTTTCAGCACTGAAATATAATGCTAAATGGTCCCGAAACATGGAAATATGGCACCCGATGCATGGAATAAGCCCCGAAACTTAAAACTAGCCCAATGCATTGAACCACAAGTATACAAAGCAAGCATTATTTGATTATGAAGTCTAAAGAAAGAGCCAAGGTAGTCCCAAAACATGCACATTTCTAGTTTAGAGCATGGCCAAAAGATGCTAACATGATGGACTAAAATAGCATGCAACATTGGCTAGCAAGCATGGTTTACATGGCATGTATATGAAGAAAATGAGAACTCATCAAACCAGCCAAAAACAGTGAATAAAATATGCCAAAATATGCTCAAATAATCACTATAATACAGCCAATGCATGCAAAAATGAGGGGCTTCTTTGGAGGACCTTGCAAGGGGTTGTTAAGCACATACAAGATAGACACTTAGCATGGCAAAACCAACTTTGGAAATCAAATATGACTGCCCTAAAACTCACCAAATTGGCTCTGAAATGGGTCTAGGAAACATGCAAAGAAAGGCTCCTTTGAAAGGCCTTGGATGGGATTGTTCTACACATGCATTGTAGACATAAAACATAGCCAAATGGGCCTTGGACAGAGCCAAGGCAGACCTTAAAACTCACAAAATGAGGCCTGAAACAAGACTTCGATGCATGAAAAATAGGGTCCCTTTGGAAGGCCCAAAAGACCCCCAAACAAGACAAGGAGAGAGGATAAGGGGAAGTAAATGACCTCAAACAGCAAAGTTCCCTTAAACAAAGTTGAAGAGGGGATCAAAATAAGACACTTTACAGTTTGGGTCGAAGCCCAGAAATGCTTGCAAATAAGGCTAACCAATCATGCAAAAAAATACAAGTTTAAGGGAAATGGACACTTACCCTTGAAGAGCCGACCTCCAGCAGCTTTTGGACCAAGTTGGTGAGCTTTCAACCTCTGCAAATGACTTCCAAGGTGCTGGAATGGATGATGGGGGTGTGGTGCTAAGGGTTGTAGTGCAAATAGACTAAGAAAGTTAGGGTTTTGGAGCTTTGAGTAGTGACAATGGAGGAGGGAGGTAGGGGTGCTCAATGGATGCACCGACCCGCCTGACCTGTCCAACCCGACCCGACCTGACACCATATAGGTGGATGCGTGACACGTGGCGGGCGGGTGCGGGTGCATTATTTCACTTTTTGCGGGTTCGGGTCGGGTTGCGGTTGACCCGCATCTTTACCCAATATACCTGACCCGCCCGCTTTTGTTATTATTATTATTTTCCCCCCTTTTCTGATCTCATCTCACCACAGCAGCACACTTAACCTAATATTTCATTCCTCTTCTTCGATACACTCTCATTCTCTCTCCCCCACCAGAACCCTACCCTACCCATACCGACGGCGACGACGTTCGAGAGGTGATCTACACTGAAAAATCCATTGGCGATCGACGATCGTGGTGTGGTGGTGGTGAGTTATTGTCTTCTCTTCTTCTCTTATTCTCCTCTCTAATCTGTTCGTTCTGTATTTTTTTTTCCGACTTCGACTTCCTCTAAAGTTCTTATTTTCTGCAATTTGTTTGTAAATTTGTTCGTTCTATAATTTTTTTTTTTGTTCTGTAAATCTGTTCGTTTCGTTCTTATTTTCCTTTTTTTTTTTTTGGTTCTAGTTTGTTGTAGTTCTAAAGTGAAACCAGTGGAAGAGAGGTTCGTTTCGTTCTTATTTTCCCTTTTTTTTTTTGGTTCTAGTTTGTTGTAGTTCTAAAGTGAAACCAGTGGAAGAGAGGTTCTACAGTGTGAAGAAGGTTACAGAGAGGGAAAAAAATGTAAGTTTCCTATTTTCTTTCCCTCTCTATATTATGCATTGAATCTGTTTTACAATGTTAAAAAGCTCACAGATCAGAGACAGAAAAATGATGTAGCTCCTGAAGGCTGAAAAATGATGTAGCTCCTGATGCATTGAATCTGTTATTTGACTTTTTTTTTAACAATGTGATTTGAATGAAAAATGGAAAATTACTTACTTAGAGGTTCATTACTTAGAAAATGACAAATCTGTTTTTACATAATGGTGCAGCAAATTCAATATCCAAATTTGTGAATGAAAAATGGAATGAAAAATTTGTGAATGAAAATGGCAAATGACAAATCTGTTTTTATTTGTGAATGAAAATGGAAAATGGCAAAAAAAAATTTCTATATTTACTTAGAAAATGGCAAATTTGTGAATGAAAAATGGAAAATGACAAATCTGTTTTTATTTATGGTTTTAATTATAATTATAGTTTTTGCTTAGCTTGAAATTCATTACTTAGAGGTTCTAAACAGTGTGAAGAAGCTCATAATTAAGTGGTGTTGAGATTGATTAGCTTGATAAGCATTGTTGAATTTGTTTTTTAACACTTAAATTCTTTAGAGAATTGGTCAGTGGAGAATGAATGAATCTGAAGTTTGAATGAAAATCTGTTTTTGAAAGAAAATCTGAATAGTTATCTTTCTATTTTATATTTTTTATTTGAACTGAAAATCTGAATCTTTAGAGAATTATTTAACCTGTTTTCTAGTTATCTTTCTATTTTGTATTGTCTAACTACTCAAATTTGAACTGAAAATCTGAATCTTTAGAGAATTATTTAACCTGTTTTTGAAAGAAAATCTGGTCAGTGGTCACATACTTCTTATTTAACCTAGTTTATCTTATTTCTCAATCTTGTCAATTCACCTAATTCTGCTACCAATCTTGTCAATGCATGCATGATCAATGTAACAGATTCAATTACTACTTACTAGATATAGAAGTCTGAATGAACTTTCATTGCATGAGTTAACATTGTAATATTGAGTTACATTGTATGAGTTGCTAAGTAACACTAATTCTGCTACTACCAATCTTGTCAATTCACCTAATTCTGCTACCAATCCTGTTTGGTTTTTGGCAGTTTATTTGATAATCTTTTACTCATGGATCCTCCAAGTGCTGAATCATCTTCTATTGACCCCTCTACCCAACCTATTGCTCGCCCTCCTAGACCACCCTTGGCCAAAAGTAGTAGTGGTGGGAGAACACAATCAAAGACTTGGGATCATTTTAAAAAGATTAAGGGTATTGATGGGAAAAATAGGTCTATGTGTAAGTATTGTAAGAAAGAATATATGGCTGGCTCTAAGAGTCATGGAACAAGTAATTTATTGACTCATTTGAAAATTTGTACAAAGTACCCATATAGGGATACTCAAGGGCAGCAAACATTAGGATTTAAACCAAGACAAGTTAATGGGGAGGGTGGTGTTGATGTTGTGGCTACATCATTTTCTGTAGAAGTTGGTAGGAGGTATCTTGTCGAGATGATAGTAATTGATGAATTGCCTTTTAAATTGGTGGATGGGGTTGGTTTTAAAAAGTTTTGTAATGTCATGCAACCCAAGTTCAAGATTTCATCTCGACATACCGTAGCTAGGGACATTCTAGACATATACACTAAGGAAAAAGAGAGGTTAAAGAAACTTGTGAAAGGGCGTAGGATTTGCTTTACCACAGACACATGGACTTCCATACAAAATTTGTGTTACATGTGTCTAACAGCACATTTCATTGGTGATGATTGGAAGTTACAAAAGAGGATCATTAATTTTTGTCAAGTTGAAGACCACAAAGGAGAAACTCTTGGGAAAAAAATTGAGGCACTCTTAAAAGAGTGGGACATTGATAGGCTTTTTACCTTAACTGTTGACAATGCGAGTTCTAATAATCTAACCATTAGATTCTTGAAACGAACTACAAAACTGTGGAAGGGAACTATTTTGGGTCATGAGTTTTTACATATGCGTTGTTGTGCGCATATTCTGAATCTCATTGTTAGTGATGGATTGAAGGATCTTGAGTCTTGTATAGCGAATGTGAGGCATGCAGTGAGCTATGTGAGGTCTTCTCCAAACCGTCTTGACACTTTTAAAAAGTATGTGGAAAGTTTGAAAATTGAGAGTAAGAGTCTCTTGTGCTTAGATGTGTCAACACGGTGGAATTCCACATATCTTATGTTGGAGGCGGCGGAAAAATTTGAGAGTGCATTTCAAAGAATGGGTGAGGGGGACTACAATTATAAACATTATTTTTTGGATAATGAAGGGGGTGAGAGGAGAGAGATGCCTACAGCCAAGGATTGGGATAATTGCAGGGTGTTTTTGAAATTTCTTAAAATGTTCTACAATGCAACAAAGAGATTTTCTAGGTCTTTATTTGTTACTTCAAATACATTCTACACGGAAATTTTTGTCATTGAAAACATGATTGGACAATTAATCAAAGACAACGATCCTATTTTGTCTTCAATGGCAAAGAAAATGAAAGAGAAGTTTGACAAGTATTGGGGAAATGGGGATAAAATCAATCTCCTTTTGTATGTTGTGATTGTGCTTGATCCTAGAAGGAAAATGACATACTTGCAATTTTGTTTTTCAACAATTTTTGGTGGGGATGTGGTGAAAGTCAAAGAAATGTTAGACAAGGTGAAACATTGTTTGACTCAATTGTATGATCATTATGCCACACTTGATTCAACAAATGTCTATGTCTCCAATGTAAATGAAACAATAGATATGGTGATAGACGAAAATGATCCATATTCTATTGTGAACTCTCAATTTAACTCATTCTTGGAGGGGCAATTTTGTAGTAGTGGGAGCATATCGGAATTGGACAAGTATTTGGGTGATATTGAGAAATGTGGGAAAAATGCTCAATTTGATATCTTGGAGTGGTGGAAGGTTAATGCAACAAAGTATAGAGTATTATCACTTATAGCAAGAGATGTGTTGGCAATGTCTATCTCCATTGTTGCTTCTGAGTCGGCTTTTAGTACAGGAGGTCGCATACTTGATCCATTCCGTAGTTTACTTGCTCCCAAGATGGTGGAGGTTCTTGTTTGTACACAAAATTGGCTTCGAAGAAACATTCCAATATGCCTTCGACAAGCAATGGATAATGTTGAAGAATTTGAACAACAATATGATTCGGGTAATATATATATATATACAATGATTTATTTTGTTTTAAATTTTATTTATTTTGTATTATTCGAAATTCATTATCTTCACTTCACATATTTTTGTTGTATTATGTTTTATGTGTAGTTGTTTCGGAATCAAGTTCATGTTCAAGTCCAAGTCTTGAGAGTAGTTATATTGAAGTTTAATATCATTGGTAAATCACTTCTCCTTTACTATATTATGTTTACTTCATATGTTTTTGTTGTATTATGTTTACTTATTTTAAGCTTAAGACTTTTTAGTGTTTTCCTTGTTAAATAATTTCATTTTTTTTTTATGCAGGTTTGGCTCATGGCTTGGTTTGGCTCAAAGAAATCAATGGCTTAAGACATTTTAAATTTTTTGGATGATTGTATTAACTATTAAGACATTTCGGCTTTTTTGGATGATTGTATAACTGTTAAGACATTTTAAATTTTTTGGATGATTGTAATATTTTATTTTGGATGATTTGTAATACTTTATTTTGGATGATTGTATGTTAAAAATTTGTGCTGCGTTGTTGCGTCCACTGTCCAAGTTGTTTGTCTAAATTTGAGTAGGTTGTCTTTGTATATGAGCAGGTTGTTCCATGTTCCATGACTCTTGAGGTTAGAGCAGGTTGTATATGAGCAGGTTTTTGTATATGAGCAGGTTGTTCCATGTTCCATGTTCTATGTCCAAGTTATTTTGGATGGGGGTTGTGGAATTTTTCACGTGGTCCAGTGCATATTAAATTCTAGATGACAGACAAATAAACAATTGATTACTCTTGATCCTTTTAATTTGAATTGCAACAAACATGAAAGGAAATCGTACTGGCAGGTTTGTAACCATAAGTTATAGTGCATCCACCTTTAAGTTAGTGGTACTGTATCAAACAATAAAATAAAGCAATTTTGAGTGTTTAGTAGTTAATTTTGAACTTACCTGCTGCTACAATTGCTAGTTTATTAGAGAATGCTAATGTAGTACTATTCTCATCGAAGAGCTTAACATCTTGCTAGAAAGGGTTGTGTGTGCGCTTTGAAGATTACGAGTTGGACAAAATCGTCTTAAAAATAGTCCAGCGAAAAATTTTAAACCACCAAACCGATTCGCATCCATCCGCCAATCCGCCAATCCGCTCAATCCGCATCTGCCGGATTGGCGGACGGATGCGGATGGATTTTCTCAAATCCGCCAATCCGGCAGACGGATGGCGGATTAGAGGTTCCGTGGCCGCAACCGACCCGCGACCACCCCTACTTTTCAGCTCAGACTCCGTCGTATCTGACTGAAGAATTTCCCGGCGATTATGGATGGGACACTGCTGGTTTGTGTGCTGATTCTGAAGCTTTTGCCAGGAACAGGGCTCTTGAAGTAAATCTGCTGATATAGTTGTTAATTTCTCCATTGAACTTGAAAGTTTGGTTTTGAAATGAATCAACTAGGCAATGGAAAGTGCATTGGCATTCTCTATCTTATTTACCAAAAATATAAACAAATAACTACTATAATCCCATTTGGTGCAACTTTAAGCTAATAATCTAAACTAGGAAGTTAAAAACATCCCCTCTCCTATATCTCAATAATCTAAACGTGTAACTTTTTTTCAATAGGAGGGAAAAAATAAACGAAATATAAGTTTTTTTTTTTTTTTTAACGAAATCCCTTCTCTTTTCTGTTTCCTAAGAGCCAAACAGACCATAACATAATTGTTACTTAACTTTCAAGTCATCCACGGAAGATGGGCCATGTTGGGAGCCCTAGGTTGCATCACCCCAGAAGTCCTTGAAAAATGGGTCAAAGTGGACTTCAAAGAGCCTGTTTGGTTCAAAGCTGGAGCCCAAATCTTCTCCCAAGGTGGCCTAGACTACTTGGGCAATCCAAATCTTGTCCATGCCCAAAGCATCCTGGCAGTTTTGGGTTTCCAAGTGATTCTTATGGGCCTTGTTGAGGGCTTCCGCATTAACGGCCTTCCTGGAGTCGGAAAGGGAAACAACCTGTACCCCAGTGGACAGTACTTTGACCCACTGGGCCTTGCCGATGACCCGGTCACCTTTGCCGAGCTCAAGGTGAAGGAAATCAAGAATGGCAGGCTAGCCATGTTCTCAATGTTTGGTTTCTTTGTCCAAGCTATTGTCACTAGTAAAGGCCCACTTGAGAACCTGTTCTCAATGTTTGGTTTCTTTGTCCAAGCTATTGTCACTAGTAAAGGCCCACTTGAGAACCTGTTGGACCACCTTGACAATCCTGTGGCAAACAATGCTTGGGTCTATCATCTACGCCACCAAGTTTGTACCCGGATCATAAATTCATGATAATCATTGATCTTGTGTTGTGTTAATGTATGAAATTTGTTTTTTTTTTTTTTTCTAGGTACATTTTATAGTTACCACTTTGTTGGATTAAAATGTTCAGATGGCTTACCTTGTGCAATTATGTAATTTAAAAATTTATAATCCATTTATTTCGATAAAAAATATTATTCCAAAATACTTGTTGCATTTTATTGCATTTGAGTAAATTAACTAAAAATATTTTCCACCACAGAAAATAAGCTAATTCTGACAGAAAAAAGTTGTCCACCTTTAATAAGCAAAAAAATATTTTAGGAATCGAACAAGACAAACTAGAATCTTACTACTGCAACCACACCACTACTCTTTCATGATGAAGTTAAATGAGACTTGTACTCTTTCTTTCACGTCTCAAACCTAAGTTTCAGCTTCCGAAGCTCGTAAATAGGATGCCCTGATTTGACCACAGCAATGGTTTTGGCCTCTTCATCAAAATCCTGCTTCCGTTGCTCAAACTCCTTCACTAGATGACCAACAGCATTCAAACCACCATTAATCTCTCGTCCAGCACCGACATCTCTACCAGTATGTGAAACCTTGATGGGCGTGTTTCCATCGGTAGTTTGTGCTCCCATGGACATGGTTTCCTCGGAATCATAATAGTGGGGCGAAGCGGAACCATCTACCCTCCCAGGTTGAATTGCAGTGTTGTCAGTAGCAAGACTCCTCTTGACCGCATCCAGATTCACCTGAAGTAAAAATATTACAACAATTTATATTTAGGCACATCAGAAATTCAGTTGTGCGGCACGGAATTCCCAAATATTTGGCTACAACTGGTCTGAGGGAGTTCATACAAAAGCTTTTTTTTTTCTTTTTGATGCCTCCAGATTAGATCAGCAACTTGTACAAAATAGAATAGATAAAACAACTGTGTATTTATGCCGTCTCCAGTTAATGGAATTTTATCAACTTTAGAATTCTTTTCCCTTCTCAAAACTTAATCAGAATTCAATCTGCCATCAAGAAGTGGTCATAACCCAAGAAATTTATTTGTTTCTACAAATGGAAAAGTCTAATAACCATTAAATTTACATCAAATAATAATCCAGTAAGGAATTAGAGGCACATCATGCCAATACTAAAGAGAATTTAGAGCCTATCCGGTAGCTAGAGATCAGCTAAAACCAGGTCAATGTTACAGAAAAACCTCAATATCACTCACTGATTAGTAAGTCCTAGTCCCTCTTTCTTCGTAAGATCTTGGTTCTAGTATAGCTTCTTTTTTTCTTGTTTTTCTTTATATATATATATATATATATAAATCTAATAAATCCTAGTATAGTTCTCAGAGCTTTCTTTGCATACTTACAAATTTAAATAAAGGAAGGTGTTTCAGTTGTCCCATGACACAGTCGACAGATGCAATGTCAGCCTCAGATAATGATCAAGATCCACCAATGATAGTTTATGTGCAACAGATACATTGACTAATTGAACTGAATGAGCCAAAGCAATCCAATTTGCACTTTTTCCCAATTATTACTTTGTCCCAGCAAATTTTTTTTGTATTTATTTGGCTGACCATAATAATAGATGTATAAAGTTCTATCCACATGCAGTCATAAACATGCAAACTTACTTGCAAAGACATCATCTCCTTCTGCCACATTGCCTCCATGGATTTCATCTTTGTCTCATATTCTGACCATCTTGCCTTGTCTTGCTCTAGTTGCTCCCTCAATGCTGCATTTTCCTGTTCCTTTTGCCCTAGAGTGGCTTCTGCCTTTGCAACACGCCTCTGAAGCTCTTGTAAAACTGAAGGCAGAACAGGTGCTTGCGATACCTCCTGCTCAATGTCCAAAAAATTTAAAAAGGAAACATTACTTGATTTTCCATCATGACTATGTTCTCAGACTTTCTATACTCAGAAGAAGGCATCCATGTGCATGTATCTAACATTTCCAGAGTACTGATAGTGTTCCTTACAACTTACTTTCAACTTGTAAGACTACTCATTAGGCTCGGCTGTGCAGTTAACAAGTATTACATTAACAGAACAATATTTACACGTGCAAGTTCATAGTTTTAATAATGATAATATAAGCTTAAGCTAAGATGTGGCTGGCAATCTAGAGACAGAATACTCATTTATTTACTTATTGTAGACAGTAAACAATACCGGTAATTTTGTGAAATTTTATGACAACAAATGCATTTTAGTGCCACTTTCACAAAAGTCATAAAGGGATATATAGGACGAGCTAACCAAAAGAAGGCATGCTGCACATAAGGACAAACTCCTAATCATATGATCTCCATAGCATTAATATGGCAATGAACCACAGCCCCATCAAAAGTACACAGACCTGCACACACACACACCATGGAGAGAGAAAGCGAGGGGAGGAGCCTCATATGAAGATGAGTTGGCAAAACTCAAAAGTCCCCATAGTCTGATATTTCAAGCTCTCTTAAAAGTAAAAAAATTTTGTTAACTACACCAAATATAGAAAGTAACAGTGCTAGGAAATGGAGACTAGAACAGGTGCTGTGGTCCAACTTGTTATGCATAGGAGAAGTACTGACACCGGTTGTCCAGAATTAACAGCCATCAGTAACAGAAAAATGGGGGGGAACTTTCACAGTATAAGAGTACCTTGACTTCAGAAATTTTCCTCCCATGCTTTTGTTTTGTATTATCAGGAATAGAATTTTTCAATTTCTGCAGGTAATTAGAATGCCTTCTTGCCAACCAACCACGAATTACTGCAGAAAGAGACCACAAGAATAGGAAAATTTTTAACAATGAAATAGCCAGTGACATGTCCAATGAATATTATAAATTACCAGATTGTAAACAGATGATTGCCCTCAGCTGCTCTTCTAGTGTCTTGCGAGCAGCCAGCATTCTCAACTTTATCAATAAATAATACTCCCTCCTAGCTTTCTCACCACGGATAACTGCAAGATTAAATTACCTTTTATTACATAATTGAAACCCCTGTGATAGTAAACAGGTTTCTCTGAATCCAATCTAATTAAGATATCATTGAAAGTGTAGACTTCAATCTAGGACTTGTATTTGGAACTTCAAAGCCTAAACATGTTTCAAGACAAAAGTTTAGTAAGGTTTCAAAGAGCTGCTATCTGTTCTATCGCTACCTGTTCTATCAACCTAAAATGGAACACAGGTTCATGTAAACTTTTAGGTTACCAATTGTCCAAAAGCTTAAGTTGTTGGGAAATGAGCCCAACAATTATATTAAGCAATCTAATACTTCCCCTAGTGTGCAACCTTGTCTCACACATGGAGGGGCAAATACTCTACAAACACA